CCGTTCGTTTTATCAGGCAGGAAGTCGGAAAGAAATAAAGCACCCGAATTCATGAATCATTGCAAAGTTTCTCTGCATGCATTCTATATACTGAGAGAAAAGTGTTTGGTGCAGCTATAATTTGCAACTATAATTGCGTCAATGGAATATGACAGAGTCTCTTGTCGCTTGGAAGTTTATAGCTTGGAGAAAAGTTTAGCAGTGGGGAGAGAAGTCTAAGATTTGATTTGTTAAATAGTATACAGGGTAGCAAACTACTTCATAATTTCACAGACTCAAAAACTTTTAAGTCTACTCTTATTTGTCGCGTTCAATAGGAATCAAATAAAGAGAGAAAAAAGGTAAGGTTTATCCGGTATATTTCAAATTTTTTTTTTTCTCTTTTGACATAGTTTCAAACAGTGCAGTCTCCGTATTCTTGCTAAATTGACAAATTTCACGTCTAGGACGTTCACGACGTGTAGTTATTATTGCGATTAGTACGCTGGAATATTAGGTATGTACGTCGAAATCAGGGCGGTCGTATGGTTGTCTCGTGGACGCGCGATGGTGAAAACGCGAATGTCCTCTTTGCGTCTTAGCGTCGACGAGCTAACGAGGAGCGCGATCTTCTCGCCCGTTGTCCACGATTTGCACAAATCATTAAAGGGACCCGGTACGGATTTGCGCAAGGTGTTTAGAGGACACGCGCTAATAGCGACTCACGCGAGCGAGTTATTTAGTGGTCTAGTTTATACCGCCGTATAAATATCCTGTGCGCGCTTCGTTCTCCCCGAGGTGATATGGTGTGTTCCCTCCGTGTGCAAGGTGTGAATATCAGAGATAAAATTGGCTTACACACACACACACACACACACACACACGCACGCACGCACGCACGCACGCACGCATGTGTACATCCCATTAATTTCTATTGCTTTACTCACATAAAATAGCGATGTAAGAAGAAAGAAAAAAAAGGGAAAACCGAGAGAGACTTTTTATTATGCTTTTTTGCGTGCTCTTGCAATTTCTATTTGACGTAGACGAATAATCGCCCGACAGGCAACATTTTATGATTTATATATCAGTTAAAATCTAGCTGATAAATTCTACGTATGAGATCTTTTTTGCATTTATAAATAGATTTACTGTTATATATATCTAACTGCATGCCATGTGGTGCAGTAAATTGGTTAATATTCGTTCACCTCTCCTTTCACTAATCCCCTTAAGATTACTTGAAAAGTTACCTTCTATAAAAATGTACAATAGACCATAAAAAATATACCTAACCGGTACATATGTCAAATTGACAGATTGTTTTTAGTGTCTTTTTTGTATAATAAGATAAAAATGATCTGACAGATTTAACAAAAATAGTTTTTCTTTCAAAAAATATCTTAAATATGAAGTTTACTACCTAAATGATTTATTAATTTCCGAATATGTATTCAAAGCAAATCAAAGAATTTTTACGTATGTACAGTCGTGGACAAATAGGTTGCGACACTTTCTTTTATAGGTTTCATATATATAGTATTTAATGTATATAATATATATTTTCTAGGTAACTAAAATATTTTACAAAACCGAACCACGTATTGATTGATGTACTATCTTTTTTTTAGAGACAGTACACCAATTGTAGTTCGTATTTGCAAAATATTAGTGCGTTTCGAAACCTATAAAAAAAAGTGTCGCAACCTATTTGTCCACGACCGTACATCTACGGTAATTAATTCTGTCTTTCGGAAATTTTCACAAACTCTGAAGTGCAGATCACTTTTCTATATTAATGTTTATAGTCCATGCACGATTAACGAAACGAAATCATGCATGGACGAATGTCGGTGTACATACGTACTGAATGATCCTATTGTGTTTTGAAAATCGAGTCTTAATATCCATAATTTATTTTAAAGTAGATCTTACTTAGACATTAGAAACTACATATGTTTTCTATAAATATAATTTGTTTGTCTTGATAAAATAGCTGTTATTGCAATAATAATTGTTAAACTAGAATCTTATTTACATGACGCATTTTCGATGACAAGAACTTACAAACAGCCGATATTTCGGATATCTTACATTTACATTTAGATTTCGTATTCACATACCTATATTTTCTCCGGACGCGCGTACACACGCATCATTTGTCATCGTAGATAGTAAAATAAATGTATGATACAAATACGGCGGCGATAAGATAAAGGCGACTTCTACTACTACTTCAAATTGTTATTAGTGTGTTTAAGGAGCGGTTACGGTTATCTAATATGAAATTGCTTCTGTTATTACATTTAGCGTGACAGAAAAGGAAAGACTATCACGTCACAGAGAAACGTGAAGCGTTTATGAAATGAATGCTATATTAAGAATATTCATAATAACAATGATATCAGAACATCACTTCGCGACTTTAGTGCGCAAAAAGAATGATTTATATACTATAAAGACTGACTTTAAAGATTGATTTTATCAACGTCGAATAGCAGTTAATTAATCAAATCTTCCGTTATCTTTTCTCTACTGATTATAAGCATTTTTCCACTCACGTCGTCTTCTGAATCTGTCAGAGATAATTATGAAAATATTCAATTTATTTTAAAAAAGATTCTTTAAAAACAAAATCTCTTCATCTAGTAGCTAATAATAAATTATCACAAAATGTTATAATTATCATAGAGAAAAGCTAATATTTATTTATACTATTATGTATTCTTATTAGCTCAGAATTACTGTATTATTATTTATGCATAAAATCTTTAGATTTCAAAATTCATTTTTTTGTTAATCATATCTAATTACATTCTATTATAAGGAAGACATTAGTGAAACATATTTATATAAAACACATTTGTATAGAACAGCTTAAATCGGCTCTAATATTATTTTAATCGATTTTAAGTTGAACTCATATTTTTGTGTGGTTCACTTGTATTTACAAAAATACTGCAGATAAAACGCGAACGACTTAGGACCTTGACAATATTGAAGCGCAATTGAGAAGTTAATCGCGATTTTTTATGAGTTCGATACCGCGCATGAGAAGAGTTTCGTAAGCGCGTGATCATCCGGCAAGGAAATCACATAGCCGAAATTACATAGAGAAATTACGTAATTGTTGCATAAGTCATTGGGGCAAATGCGAGTACAGATCTAAAATGGTGGGACCAGGTTATCTCTTCGTCGGAGATAAATCGTATCGTTCATTCAACCGACACATTTATACCGCGTAACGTTGAGCATTTTTCGTATTCGTGTCAGGTTCAATTACGATTCACCTCTGTACGTTTGTCTCTAAAAAAAGTGCATCTTAAAGAAGATGAACAATGCATTAATAGCTTCTGAATTTCGAAATATAACATCAACTTTTTATTACAAAAAAATTTTAAATATCGGAATAACCACTTTTAACACTTTAATTATTTCCGAGACCTGACGTGCTGGTGAAAGAAGAGTGTTATTACGAAAAGGCAGATTTTTATCTCGCTCGCGGAAAGTAAATTTGACATCGTTTCTTATAGTTCTTGAAACGAAAAATCGAATGGTGCTAGTTAAAATTACGTCACATATCGAGAAACACATGAAAAATTGAGTTCAAAGTCGGAAAAATGCGTGGCTCACTCGGTAGACGCACGGCGATTTCCCGGGTGGGGAAAGTCGCGAGCCTACGGTCCCGCGCGCGCCCTAAAAAAAGAGGATCAAAAGGGAGGGAAAAATGCGTGGCTCACTCAGAAGACGCCGGGTGGGAAAAGTCGCGAACATGTCATGCAGGCGCAGCGGTAGAGTTGCCATCCGTTCTAGCTCTTTTCCCCCCGGGGGGGAACGTGCGTTATGTGGCTGACGACTGCCGGTCTACGGACGCTCTAAAAAAAAAAGGATCAAAGTTGAGTTTAAAGTCGGAAAAATACGTGGCTCACTCGGAAGACGCATGGCGATCCGCCGGGTGGGGAAAGACCCCCTCAGAAACGTTCATGGGATATTAAATAAATAAATAAATATTAAATAAAATTGATTAGTATTTTAACAAGAAGACACGCTAAAGACACTTAACTGTCGCGCATACAATCTCATTAGCCAGTTTATCTATTTTAACCTTGACATTTTCGAGAGTTTAATATTTGATTTAATTTAAAAATTGTAAAAAATAAAGAAAAGAATAAGAAAGAAAAAAAGTAATTGCTTTGGGTAATTACCTATAGACAGTCTTAACTCTATATAAACGTAGGAAGCTTTTCTATAACATTAAAAACTTATATTAACAAATAGTGTTATTATATAGTAAATGAATAATTTTAGAAATAAAGGAGAAAAGTAAGACAAACATTTTTAAAAATAATACTATTTTTATTTTTCAGAAACGGATAGAAATAAAGACTAAATATTTATTTGCAAAAATGCAAAGTTAACTTTTAATTCAGGTTTGGATTTAGTATGCAAAATTAAAAATGACTACTAGTTAGTAATATACTTTGCAATGATAAACTATTATAATTCATTTGCAATTGTATTTCATTTGTGGATATTTAAAAGAAGAAATGATAACAAAAAATCTCTTTCTATTTGACGAAATCAAGATTGTTTGATATTTTTCAAAATCGCCACATGGTCATAAACGAGAAGTTTTAATGTAAATTTTGTGTCCTACAAGTTACAATTCGTTGAGTATAGTTTTACACGGGAGGATAGTTGACATGGGATGACCCATAATATATATTGTTTTATAATCGTTCGTCGCTATCTAGATTTTTTTTAACGTGACTCGTGTAGAACCTTTGCCTTTGAAATAAAATTGCTTGTGATTAGAGAAAATTTTTTAAAAACAGATTTCGCCGAGCTTGGCGATCGCGACGACGCGGCTAAGAAATCCGGTTGCTCCAGTAGTTAATTGCTTCATGGTTGCTCCAGTTCGACGGGAATTTACGATGCGTGAAATACTGGTAGTGGTGCGGTGCGGTGGGATCGCGACTTCTTATGCGCGTATAGTTACGGCGCGGCATGCAACTCCCTGTTAACGTTCGCATTGACAGTCACGCGTGTACCGCCAACCTCTGCGGAGCGTCGCGAAGTGTCGTTTCTTTATGTGACTCGTTTAAGAGACTTCAGCAGAACCTATGAATTGACTGAATTTACGCGTTCTGAATACTGTGTATACCGTGGGTACTTGATCGTCTCGTTTTGTTTGCCGGCGTGATCGGGAGAACCTAGTGTTCGTGATTGTCATCGAAGCGAAAAGTAGGAACGACACGAACTGGATGTGGTGGCAATCGCGTCCAGATCGGATGAACGGTCTCGGCGACACGTGTTGCGCCGCGTCGCGACAGGAGACACGTCTCAGATGTGGCCGTGCCGGGAAAATCGACCAGCGATCACGTCGCCGTCGACGTCGTTCTCGCGCCGTTCCCTCGACGATGATCGCCCGCACGTGATACGTCTCGAACGCGTGGACTTTTACCGAACCGGTTCTACGGTGCAGCCGTACGCTTACGCGCGCGAATCGCATTGCTATCGTGACTTCTGAGGAAGATTCGTCCACGACACGTAAGAACTATCGTGGCAATTTCGCTTCTTCCTCTTTTTTTTTTCTTTTCGTTCATATGGATTGCCGGTCTTCAATACGATTAAAGACAATTCTGCAGATCTTTAAGATTTTAAGCACTTAGATGTCGCTATTTGGATTTCTTCAAGATTTGACGTCAAAGGGTCCAAAAGAATGCTGCCTCCGATTGGCGGGATGCAATTAGAACAGAGGATGGATAATGGCAGGCCAGGTATAGAAACTGGAGTCATGTGTCTCCGAAATCATGCCGCTTGTACCTGTTTAAAGCCTCGTCTCACACTATCCCCGTTAATAAACAATTAGAAACAATTAGAACGTGAAATAATTATTCATTGTCTGTTCTGACCAATTTTATTAATCTACATACATTTTCTTTTTACATCCGGAGTTTTTGGAGCCTGTAAATTCTAGTTTTGAAAATTTTGATATGGCAATCCTATTTGATGAGAATGTCGTAGAAGTATTGTTTCCAAGTCATAAGATTATCACAGGAGCTTTTGTAACGAAATTAAATCAATTTCAATTTTCTGCAATTGCGACAAGAGTATGTTATATGATGTCGCAGTCAATCACAGCACAGCAAATTTAGCGGCAGAAATTTGTTAATTGACTATCGCAGACAATCCTTGCGACTGTTGTAGATACACATTTAGTGACATTTTTACGATATGCAATAAATTCTCCTACTCTACTACTTATTTATAACATGCAACGCAGCTTGTGCGACTATCGAGACTTAGGATCATATCTTAAGCTGTACCTGAAGTAGTTTGCTAACTCTGGAAAATCTAATTTCCTAGTTAGACTCTCAAATCTCTCAATTTAATGGAGGATAGATCATCAACAATAAATTATCTGATTAATTCTATAATACATTGGGAATAACGATGTGAGATTCATTTCTTGGAGGCGACAGCGGGCATTTCTTAGAGATAATCGTAGAGATGATGGAATAATTGTTTATGTTATACAATCACGATTGCGTTGAATTGCCACACTAATGAAATGAGCGAAAGCGGGCTCACCGTCAACGATTAGATTTAGGTTCCCTTTCACTATCATCTATTATTCATCAATTATTAATGAGCTTTTAGAAGAATTTCGGATTTTTAGAATTAGAAATAGGAAGAATATCGGAAAAATTCTATAACTCGAAGGATTTAGCTCTTCCCTTGAGATCCGTGTTATATGGAGATTCGACTGTATGTATGCGTATGTACATGATAATAGTATCTGCCTATTTTTAATCAAATATAGAATTATATTTTTACAATGGTAAAAAATATTTTACACGATGATAAATTTGTTGAAAATTTAATTACAGATATTGGAATTTTTATTTTTTTTTTCTTACACCTTATTTATTAATAAACAATCTGTTGAATGTAAAATTTTTAATAAAAGCATAATATTTTATAACACTAGAAACATCGAAGTCTTTTTTTACGCGTACCTCGATAATGTAAAAAGAAATGGTATTTTATAGAGAGTGAATTTTTTTATCAATAAATCAAGTATATCTGTAAAAAATTCCAATATCTATAATTAGATTTTTAGCAAATTTATCTTAGTTGTATAAAAAAAATTTTCCTCTTTAATATCTTGTTAAATAAAAAGATCCATATATCAGGTAGGATTCGAACTCGAATAGCACGAAAGTTAAGACGACATGTCCTGTCTAGCATAGTTTCACAGCCATAGTACGCTTGTGTATTAAATGTATAACAACTCTTACATGATTTTGACAGTATGTGACTTTGAGTAATTTTATAATTTTTCACTAAAAAACAAGGGATTATTCATTTCTAATGTTTTGTCTAGTAAGCTACTATATTTGCAGAAATTAATAAATAAGAAAAATTAATACAGTAAGGCTCCAATGAATAAATCAAATGACCAATATAAATTGCCAATATAAATTGATTTGAATCATCAGAGATTCGAATCGAATCGAATCAGAGAAGGAAAATAAAGATTGCAAACGGTATAGAATATATCTAACTCTTTGTGAATTAAATATAAATTAAAAAAAAAAATTTTTTTTTTTTTTTCGGAATTTCTATAAGATTTTTAATTCTGAAAAATCTGATATCTTTCTAAAAGTTCACTAATAAATAATCGACGAATGGTGCAGGTGAAACAGAACCTAATACCTAATCTTAACTCAATCCATAACGAAGCCTGTTTTTGTTCACCGGAAATGCAATTCAAAGGATAAAGAGCGGTTCTACAGATTTGAAAAACATGAATATATCTTGGAATAATCCCTTTGTGTGCCACTTTTGCAATGTATCATTTTAGTTCATTTTTTAGACTTTGAGTTTTAGAGAGCAAGAACGTCGCCGAACGAAATAACGTATGCAACATTTCGTCATATTGAATATTCATGTATATGTATGTACAGCCATATTTAATAATTAATTGTATTAGTGTATTAAGTGTCGAAATGAGTAGAGCTTCTATAAAGGCACGAAATAATTTTAATATATTTTTTAAAGAGTATAGTTTAGTTATATTTTATTTGTAATCGTATAAGATTTCGAAGAAAATTATAGAATTAGTTTTTACATAAACTTTAACTGAAAGATTCATTTTGTAACTTAAAATTGTACGCCAATGAATATAAATATTTAGCTTTGAGCAATATATTTTATGCTATTAATAATAAAAACAGGTATATTTTTTTAGTACATCCGAAACATTTGTAACCATATGTTTTCTTTTTTTCGTCTTTATCATCTGTCATTCACAATTTCAAGATAACGACGAAATGTTGCAAATTATACCTCTTGCGCACAATGCGAGAAAATAGCGATAGCGGTAGAAATAAGGTGATAGACATAGAATTCCGAGGAAAGCGTAACTCTGGAAAATGGAAGTGATGTGAGGGAAAATGGTGGTGTGGTCGAATTGGCCGTTTGCGTTGCGACTGCGATTAACCATCAGCCACTCACAGCTTTCGTACAACAATGGAAAATCTCTAGACACCGGACGTGTGAGTGGCTGTGGTCAGGTACGATCCCGACGAGACGCTCCCAATATAGTCTGGTTTTTGTTTGATTTTTGTAGTCCAGCCTTTTTGCGTAGCGAAGGGACGGAGAAGGGAAAGGGGCAGGAAAAGGTTTTGGAATTTCCATTCGATAAAGATAAGATTCATAAGAGCTTCCCTCTTTACAGTTAATTGCATTCGTCCTGCACACTCGTCATTTGGCTAGCAGTACGAGATCTCGTCGTAAACGAGATACGTTTTAACGCCGATTTGATGTGTATACATTTAAGTGTCTTCAAAATCGAATTTTAAGTGTTTTCTAAATCGAGTTGAAACGAGGATTTACATTCTCGGATAAATTACGTTCTCTTGTTCAAATCTTCGAATTTTATCACCAATTTAGCCAAACGCAGGAGTTAATAAGGATTAGATATATAAATACCTGATTGAATTAGATGTAAATATTAGAATAAAAACGCAAAACGTACCTTTCGAAACTACGCGTCTCGGCGCATCCGTAGCCGAGATATCGTAATGTTCACCTCCGTGATCTCTGCATGACACCCGCATGTCACATACTTTGCATTGAATACGAACATGCTTTAGCCTGACCAAATCCATATGCAATGCACTTCGCTGATCGTTATTGAGTTAATCTCGAATCGTGCTTCGATGGTATATTCCAAATTTTTCAAGATTGCGCGATTTCCTTTTTTCTGACTTAAAAAAAATTTATTAAAATAAAACAAATATATTTCTTTGAATGTACTTTTCTTAAATGAAAGAAATAGAAATATTTGATAGATTAAAGGAAATATTTATACATCCAAAGTAATATTTTTAAAAAATTATAAATTAATTTCAGTTTTTTTAATTAAAAAAATCTTTTTGATTTGACATGTTATATATAATAGTGAATAAATAATATAAATATTTTTTTTATTTAAGAAAAGTACATTCAAAGAAATATATTTGTTTTATTTTGACAAATTTTTTTCTCAATGATAAATAAGCGAGTCGCATAATAAAATTATAAATTTTACTAGAGATTCGAAAAGAGACATTTTTTTAGGAAATTTGTGAAACGAACAAATTCACAAGCAGTGACAATTCTATAACAAAAGTCAAAGTAAAAATTGTAACCGTAATTTTTTGTGGATTATTGATTGGTTTTGAAAGCATGAAATTTGATCCTTATTTTAATGCATCTTATTTTAACAATGAAAGTTGATGAATGGGGTTGTAAATATGAAAGGTGACAGATAAACAGAAAGAAGGGAAAATGAAAAGAAAAAGAGAAATTTTTATTAGTCTGTTCTTGAACATAATGGTTTTTTTCGCTGATGAAATGATAAATTATACCGTATGAAATAATGACAACGGCTACTGTCGTCTAAACGCGCACGAAAACAAGAAGAGCTAGCCTAATTTTACGCCGTCGGGTTACTGGACCTTATGTAACTGCACAAGTCGAGCGCTAAGTTTAGTAGACCTCTCTTATAGTGTATAGACTCTCTAGCGACGAATTTCCGGAGGCGCCACCGTCTTGCGAAATACACGAATTTTTTGAGAAAAGATCACAGACGTCTATATAATATATTAGATTACCAGCTGCTTCTTTTAATTGAGCCGAAACTTTTTGTATTATACGTATACTATACTGCATATAGTATAATATTGCAGATTCGTATACTATAGAATTATGATAGATATCACTGTTTATGATAGATTGAAATTGTTATTCTCTGTTGCCTGTTCCCTTTTCCTTTCACTCCAAGCTCTAGTTTCCTCCCTTTTTACCTCCTTTTTTTTTCTTCTTTGTCTTCTTCGTACGTTTCTCTCCAACTTGGAGTCCACTCTGTTCGACCTGCGAATCAGTTCTCCAATACTCGTGCTAAATATGGAACCAGCAGAATACTTGGATTATTTTGAGAACGACGCGTCTTTCTAGCATTACTAGATGTATATATCAGGTAGATGTGACCGCCTGTTAAATTGCGCCGCTAGGTAAGGGACAACGAGTCCGTTGAAAGACGCGTCCGTTGAGCTTATTTACGAGAAAGCAGTTCACGAGAAAAATATTTCTTAATTTTTTTCCTTTTTTTTTGTTATATGAACGACTTATGTCAAAATTCTAATAATAGGAGACCGATAGGAGATTCTAACCAAAACGTCACGTTATATCTTGGCCATAAATCGCCGCGTTTGCGATCTATGTCAGCGAATTTTCAAACGCAAAAACATAAAATTTCTATCCTTTTCTCGACTATTTAGTTATCTTTTTTTTCTTTTCTTTTTTTTTTTAAGATGTCGTTTTGTAGTGACGATCGACTGTACGAGGATCCCGGCTAAATTTACAGTGACACGAAATATCAGCTTCTAAACTCACCGCTAAGCACACAAGGTGTAATGACATTTGGCAGAGTCAACAACAGTCGGTTGTTGGCAAACGAGGTTGCGGCGTTTAATTAAAAAAAAAAAGAGCAGGTCGCACAATAGCCTTGCGGTTAATTAGGGTGGCTTTGAATGAGGCGCTCGAATAAACAGCTTAACGAGACAACTGTTTCGATCAGCGACTCATTACGCGATGAAAGACATCTCTACTTTTACTTTTTTACATAAAATATCTTAGCGTAATTATGTCTCACGTTATTGTCTCAATTATGTTGTCTCTCGAACGCTGTCAGTGACAGTCACCGTGATAAAAAACGGGCCTCCCTCTCCTGTCTTATATTATTATACAATTATTATGAAATTTAACATTAATTGAGATGTTTTATCATTTATTAAAATTCGACAAAATAGAAATGATACCGTAATTGTGACTTTACCATTGCTTCGTCTTCCCTTTCCCCCTCTTCATTGACCTTTCTGTTTAATTTCTCGAACGATCGAGAATCAGTTCCAAGTGATGTAAATTCAATGTGGGGGGACGCGATTTTATCGCGCTTGTGTGCATCGGCCTCGACGTAACGGCTCGTCCGTTTTCTACGTTTGACGTTTTACGTCGCTTTCGACCGACCTCTGCTTCGCATAAGCTTTACATAATCAGTCGAATAACAAGTACGACCGCCGCTCCAGAGACCGCCTCGCGTATCGTGGAAAGGGAAATCGACCTTAGAGTTTTATTTCCATATGATTTACGGATGTGCGCGTGAACGGTGACGTCTTTTTGACACGTACAGTTGCACGGTGCGTAGCACGATTTATATGGCACAAAATGATTTTACATACGCGCGCGAAAATATTCGTGCATACGCTTGTGTCCTCACATCCTGTTCTTTCGATTTTTCCCTTGGTTCTCGCGTTCGGCAAGGAGAAAGAAAAGCGATGATTTTCAAACAAGAGAAAGTATCCGTACCACCCTCTGTCTCTTCCAATTCTTTTATTTTTTTGATCTCCGTTTCTAGATCAACTGTCTATCTATCATCATTCGAAAACTGGACTTCTTGATCTAGAAACAGAGACCAAAAAAAAAATAAAGGAATCGGAAGGGACAGAGGGTGGCACCTTTTTTAGTATCTTTTATTTAAAGTCCAATTTTAAATTTGAATGATGGTAGATAGACAGTTGATCTAGAAACGGAGATCAAAAGAAAAAAAATGGAAAAGGACAGAGCGTGACGTAAGGGCATGAATATTAACTTTCGCTTGTTTGAAAATCTTCGCTTTTCTTTCCCCTGTCTAAAAATAGCGCGAATGACCTTCTTCGGTTTAAAATCGCTTCTTACATACAGCAATGAATGTGTTTAAAATCGCAGCTCTCTATCTTGAATGTTCGCGACCTATCGCACGCTTTTTCTGACCCCTTCCGTCAGATATCCGTCGATATTGCAACGTTTTGATATTATTTACCGCGTAGCGACCCGTCAACTCGACGAAACGTCAAACAGATTATAATAAAATCCTGATACGAGACGGCTGTCGCGACGCCGCGCGATATTGTATAACATCCATTTGTATAATTATTACGGTTGCCTTCAAAAATTGACGAGGACATACAGCCTCTTTTCGTTTTGTTCGTTCTGCAAATATCGAAAAATATCGATTTACGGTCCTATACATCGTTACGCATATTTTGAAATCAATGAGAATGTTCTTTGCTGTTGAATGACAATAGATTTCACATTCTTGAATGCGAAGATGCTAGATGCATCTAATTAAACTATTTAATCAGTTCAGTCTTTTTCTCATTATGTTTAGAAAAATAAAAGATAGAAATTTGACCATAATAAACTTCAAAGCTCACTCATATTGTTCATTTCCTTTTCAAACCATTCAAAAACGTATCTTTTTTTTATCCGTATTCATTACTATTTGAAGGATTTGAGGGATTTCTTCTCTTTAGAGCATTATAATGCCACCTTTTAGAAACACTTTAATGCAGCCAGTTTTGCACCCTCATCCATCACGTCGGCAAGTCACATTGCTCACAATCAGACGCTTCAACTACGTTATCATTAAAGCAAATTGCTTCGCGTCGCTCTGATCGCCTGCCACTGTTTACGATCGCTTGCTTACGACCTCAGGTTTATTTGCGAGCTTCGCGCGTAATCTTACGTAACTCCAAGCCGGTACGCGTGCGCCGGTCTCAATGAAAGGGAATCTTGAGTCTCAAATCTCGCATGAAGAAATACAATTTTCGAAATCAGTTTTCTGTTCCTATATTTTCGCTAACATTTTTTTCCTACAGATTTCTGACCTGACTTTTAATTCCATTTCTCTTATATTATTGATTACGCGTTACAAAACATTTATCGAATAAAATTTCATCGAAAAACGATCGGATGTTCCATATTCTTTTATATCTTTTAAGTTTTTGTAGAAATTGTCGTGCAAAATGTAACGCAATTATTTTAAACTTTATCGGCACCGTAGACTCCTCGTGGAGAATGAACGGGAGCAGCTAACTATCACGACGTATCGTTTCTACTATTTGTTTAACTGTTCAAACAACATCTGCTCGAGTCGGCGAGTCGAGTTTGTTTGATCGGGGTCTTGCACAGACATCTATATAACACATCGCTAGATTCGAAATTTCATAGGTATACCGGTATACGGAATTTGGTAATAGGTGTATATTCCTTCGCGAAGAACGGATTAAACTGAGTGGAAGTCCTCTTGCCGGTTTACGATTTTCGTAATGAATGAAAACTCAACGTCCGTACCGCGCGAATTTTAGATGATTTTCGCATCACGTGATTACGATTAATTTATTTTTGTTTGTATTTAATATATTTATTATATTTGTTATATAAAATGTGTTTTATTTAATATATATTTATTATATTTGTTTAGTGAAACGTGTTTTATAATTAAAAATTATGAAAACATTAGTATAAAGATGGCTTTTTAAGTGGCACCTGACATACCACTGAGATTTCTTTATATCGATCTTTATACAACCCTCCTGTATTTCGATTTTGTAACTTTTAACGACAATTCGATATATTATCGTTGCAATGACAATATAACGATATCGATACTGTCATTAAAAGTTACAAAATTGGAAACTAATTTTTATAAACTATATATTTATTAAAAATAAAAATGTATATGTACTACATGATATACATATACATAATATTTTCATTTTATAAAATGTTAACATTATTATCTAATCTAATTTTCTAGAATTTCAATAAAAATTATTTAGAATACTCAGTATTATGTATTGCGTGTACTTTTTATTTAAATATAAATGTATTATTAAAGTAAACTTAAAAAAAGTAAACATTTTATTTTATTTATTTATTTTTTCTTTTCTATCACTCTCTTTGTCAAGAGCTTCATGCAGAGAACCAGCGACTTTTTGTTATAAATTCTTTTTTATAATTAAAAGAAATTGGAAAAGAAAAAAAAATTTACGAGTAGTTTTACAATTTCAGAGATTATTATATAGAAACGGCTGTAAGACGAGAAAACTATTTTTGAAATAAATCGTCAGACAATATGAAACAGGAGAAATCAATCAGGAGAATTGTCAGGGATTTTAGGGAGGTTTTCTGAATCAAGCAAAAGAACATCACTCAGGTTTCGTGATACTGATTGCGAACGCGATTATACAAAATAACACACGAAATACCTGCCGGTTTTGTCCGCCGATTCCGCCGCCGGTTTCTAACACGATTATTGCAAGATGAGCGCCTTGCCGACCTTTGCCTTATTGATCTCTGACCTGTATGCGACATATTTTGTATATCTACGTCGCAACCGTGGATTAATTTGAGTTGAATCTGAGTCAAGAGTTGTAGAAACTCAGGGCACACTCTACTTTCACAAATTTCTATTCAAAATCTTTTTCGAGAGAAACAGTATTGATAAAGAAACGCACCGTTTTTTTCTAAATTTGTCTAACTTTTTCCGATTCCAGGTTTAATTTAACGCATAGAAGCTGTAAATTTTAATTAATATCAAGAACAAAATTTAAAAATAGCCATCACTTATTCATGGCTCATTATAAGTTACAATAATCTGACAATTATAATGTTTTTACGATATTATTACAGTGATTCGTCAAAAGCGTCCCGTTCTGAAAATGAATGTATATCAGATTCAGAAGCGGAAAATATATCATCTATCGTAGTCATCTCACACTTTATACATATACCTACTCGCAATTTGTCAGTTTTCCAATAAATTTATAAAACGGAGACGTACATGCAGGGATGAGAATCGGAAATTGAACTCGAGATTCGCAGACTGCGGCCGTGTCTACAATAGGTGTAGCCGTAAACGAAATTAATCAATTAATCGATTTTTCTCCTTATATTCAATTGCGATTGGTCAGTTTCTTAATTGCGGCTTACGGCTTACTACATTGTAGGCACGGCCTGTCAACTACACAGAGTTATACGTATCATCCCAATCTAACGACATGTATTGTTTGTTTTTACAGTGCCTTATTTAAATCGACGCCTTGCTAGAAGGTCGCTTGCTGAACCTCGTTCAGAAGATTCCGAGGCGGAGAACACCTCGCCACGGGCATCGCCTGTGGTCAGTCGGCCGCAAAACACTAGGAAGCGTCGAGGAAACTTGCCCAAGGAGGCGGTTACCATCCTAAAAAGATGGTTGTATGAGCATAAATACAATGCGTACCCTAGTGAAGCAGAAAAGGAGGAACTCAGCCGATTAACGGGATTATCCAACCTTCAAGTAGGTTTCTTTTTAGTTTCTTGTTTTGCTAATTTTTCAATAAAGATGTATTGTCATCTATCAATTTATCGAAATCGCGTATCTTGATTATTATATGTTATAAATTAATTAAATGGCTTGAATGAAAAGTTATTAAAATTTATTTCGATTTTTTTTTCTTTTTTTCGAATAACTTCTAATCAATTTTAAGTTTTTTTTTATTTTATGTTTTGCCAAAAGATCTTTGCAATTGCTAATGTTTTGTGAACGTTGAACTTTCCGACTATGTTTTAAGGTGCCATTAAAAATCATAGTCGATTATTTATCTTACGCGAGAAGAATAATCGATTGTGATTGGTCAATTTGCTTAAATCTCAAGTCTCATTGTAGACACCGCTTTAAAGAGTAGGCGTGAGACATAGACTGTAGAATTAAAGTCTCCTAAGGCATCGTCTACAATAAACACAATGAAAAGGAATAGGCAACAGCGAATAAAAATTTCAACCTATCAGAAACCGTGTATTCCATACAGTTACACGGTTTCTGGTAGGTTGAAATTCTTATTTTCTGTCCCCTTTTTTCCTATTTCTTTCCTATTGCGTTTAAGGCTCAAAGTCTATGACTCATAGAAAAATGTAAAGCAGTAAGTGAATTGACCAATCACAGTAAAGGATCACACAATAGAGAGATTATTGCCTAACGTTTTCTATTCTGTATTCTCTGAACTAACGCCGATTTCCTACGTTTTTCGTTTCTCTATGGGTTTTCGTTTTTCTAAGCACACTGGATGGTCGGCCGCGGCCGGGGCGGCCTCAGATCACAGTGAACCGCAAGTGCATAGCAGTCGTTGCCATAGAACTTATACATATACCGTGCTGCAATATTGCAACGATCAGTTGCCAAGAAAACTGATAGAAATAAGGATTTTGTTGCCTGTACATTAATTATTTATTTATTCTTTCTACTTTAATTATATAAAAGAGTTTTCAATTTCGTTCAATCAATTCAGATTATATATCTATACAACTGCAATGTCAGTAATTCCGTTCTGTCAGCATCGCCTTAGGTGGGCAGTAATAAATAAATTTATTGATTAATGTGCGATTAATAGCTCAAGTTGACTTTCGTCGATCCTCCAGTCTGCCTCGACTTGCTAATTACATTATTGATATCGAAATTCATTCGCAGGTCTGCAATTGGTTCATAAACGCCAGGCGACGCATTCTACCTCAGATGCTGAAAGAAGAAGGGGAGGACCCGAATCGGTATACAATATCACGCCGTGCTCGTCGCTTGAACGGCGGCGGTCCCATTCGACCTGGTCGAAGAACCCCCCTGGAGCCGATTGATAGTGCTCCGGTCCGACGTAAAATTAATTCGCAACGTGGATTGGAGGAGTCCACGTGTCAGTAAGTATCCCCCTCTGCATGTATATTTCGATCTGTTTCGTTGTTATCGTAAGATTAAGAACGAAGAGTTCTGCGCCGACTCGACGATGCCGACTGACTTATGCGAAAATTCAAAGGCTTAAAAAGAGAGAATGTTGTGCCGCTTATCAACTAATTTGCTAAATAGGCTAACACTAGCAAGAAGTTTCCTTTTTTTGGGGGGGGAGGGGGAAGAAAATAAGTGGGAGATTAGATTAGATGTGTGAAAATACTAGATGTATCATTCAAGATTTGCGTACGCAGAAGCGAGGACTATCCCAATGATTACGACAGCAGTCTGAATGACTACCACAGCGAAGGGGAGGAACAACCTTCGATACGATGGCCGAACGTGATAGTTCATCCGTACGTCGAGGCTCAAGTCGAGCAGTATGACGACGACAGTATTCCTCACCTCACGTATGCTCGACGAAGGCAAGTTTATTAACTTCATACAACAAGTTGCGTTCGATGGAAAGAAATAAGCGCGAGCTTTGCAACTTGTAAAACCTTCTACTAAAAACGCCTTCTAACAATTCGACACTTTTGACACACTCACACTCGCTAAGCGCAATCACCACACATTTCTCTGATACTTAATCAGATAAATAAATAATTGCAAAAATTAACAAAAACAGTCAAAAAGTAAATGACGAAAGAGTATCGTATATACAGAAATCGAGCTTTTTCGAGTAACAAATATGCATCTCTCTGTGACGCTGAGAATCGTTGTTGATTCTCGCGTGCGTCCAACTCAGTGCTGGCATTCAGTCACCTAAGTTACTTTTTGTCACTTTTTTTGACAAGTTGCTAAAAAAACACTATTTAAATCCACCGTTTTAAATGGATCACTATAATCACCTTTATTTACCTTACATGAAATTCATAAAACACGTTCTATTTATATTCTTCGTCTCGTTTGATAACAATTGTTACTTTAAAAAATCAATGAAAAATTAAATAATAAAGCTTAATATTGAAATTTAATTAAATTATATTAATAATTTTGTTTTCTTTTCCATTTTTTTATGTATTAGCCTTGTATTAATTCTGTATTAATGTGTTAAGTTTTGATAGATATAAAACTAACAGGTGACATGACTTTCAAATATTACAATTATTTTTTATTCAAAAAATACATTTTTTGTTGCATTTTTAAATTAAAAAATTTTTTTTATTGTTTAATAAATGTACAGTTTATTCTTTCGTTTTCTTAAGATAATATTTAAACTTCTATTTGCTTGATTATTGTACACACGCCATCAGAAATGCCTAGCCATCTGAATTTGCAGGAATACTGACTTATATATATAAACATATATTTATATTTAAATATTGAAATATACGTATGTATATGTGTCCCTGCAAATTCAGATGGCTAGGCATTTGTGAATGATATAAGCATTCGTGTCTATGTTCTTTCTTTATTATAAACTTTCAAACTATGAAAAGAATTTGCTATAAATTATATTATCCAATGATCTATCTGAGACAATAAGAGTAAATACTTTTTTGCTTAAATTGCTTGAATTTTTACTTTGAAAATTTGATAAAAAATATCACTTTTTAATTGTTACTATTTTAATAAAGATTACTTTTTGTCTGTCAATTTTTTTTCTGTCAAAAAGCAATCACCATTTTACTTGTTCTGTTTGATTGAATGGCAACGCCGAACAAGCGTATCCTGACGCTGTGAAAAATGTGACGCAGCGTCAGATTTTTAAGGATAATAAATTAAAGATTTTTTTATTCGTAGGAATAGCCATTCACCTAACATGGGAACTAACGAGAATGAAGAGCCTGCTGCATACTGGAGTGCACCTCGTGAGCATTTATCTCTGTCACCCCAACTGCAACAGCAGATCGCACATCGTGGCCTGACACCGCGAACCATTGAAAACGCCTACCTTTATGAACAAAATGGAAACACCTTCTCAATGTTGGCGGAGGTTGCTTCCGACATGCCACGCATGTCAACACCATCACCAGCGTCTGTTTAATCAGGTTCTCTCACGATCATCTATTTCGTCTGCTTTCATCGGTATCTCTAACATTGGCTAAATGGAATAGGAAAACGAGATTAGTATCGTAATTATTGTTGTCAATGACTGACGAACGATATAAAAGTTCAAAAATTCTTCTCAAAAAGACTAGCAAATTATTATACTTTTTAGAAATTGTTACAGTCGTACAATCTCTAAGCAATGATGATTATCAGTCATTATCGTTATCTCATTATGTATTGCTATTAACATCACGAAATAACTCCGACGATGTCAACAATTGTCAAACAGTTCAGAATATATCTGATTAAACGTAATAATTTCTAATTTTTCGAGAAGAGAATTTTTGCAAAGGGATAATAACAAGTATGAACGTTTAAGTCGGAGAGACACAATTGTACCTTTGTTATACATAAATTTGGTATTCTACTCATGACATTTTACAGTTTTCATATTATAGCTTGCTTACCCTATTTCTGTTCATGTTCTTCAATTACATTATGTTTTCAGAAACTTTTAAATAGCATTGAGAATGTTTTCTATTGCCCCTCGCGTATCGCATTTATTTTTATAATAAACGCGCGCGAAAGACATGTATCAGGATAATGCATTTTCGCACAAAAAAAAATCGCGCTTTCGAGATCATTAAACCATTTCTCGTCTCATTGTTTTAAATAGCAGACAAAAATTAAGTAATTAAGTTGAAATAATAGGTGACTGTTGTATATATAGGCTACGTTCAGATTTGCCACCTGGATGTATTCAGATATCATTTTACCTTCTTCAATGTTAAGTGAGGATAAAATGTTACCTGGATGAATCCAGATGGCGAATCTGAACGCATAGAAATGTATTTGAAAACAATGCAAATTCTCTTAACAAGAGAATTTGCATTACTTTCAAATATAGAAATGTTAGACCGAGCCAAAGACTATTACTTATTTTGTTAATGTTAATTAGGATCCATTTGACTACGTTTGCAATTGATCACAAGTCACTCATAGCACCAGTGGAGAACCTCTAGGCACCGATCGGCTTGGATTAGCCTGTGGTCAATCGTAACGTGGTCAAACTCTACCGTTAATTACTATTATAATTAAATTGTGTTAAATAGACAGATATTTCTTAGACAGTACAACATAGCCATTTTTGTCTGTAATATATGAGAGACGGTAAATTCGAAAAAAAACAACGCTCGACAAGGTTGTTAAATGTACAACTGAAATTTATTTTAATACTACATAATCTTGTTACTATAATAATGAAATATTTCATATCTGTCTCGATCCTCCTACACGTTAATCGATTTTCATCACGTCAAGTTTCGGAATACTTCTTTTATCTTAAATCTCCATTTATTTAAAATTGTTGATCACCTTTATATATTAAGCGTTTGCAGAATTTCATCGTATTGTGTGGGAGAGATCGACCCGACAAGAGTTTCTACTCTACTTCTGTACAAAACTTATGAACCTAATCTAAAATTGTGCCTTTCGTAAGGCGTCCCAAGTTACGAGGGGCGTCTTTTATTACTAGTAGTTCATAGTTGATCATTAACAGGCGGACTATTTGATACAAATAAGGGCTCTTGCAGCGCGGCAAGTATTTTCACGTGCAGTGTGCAGGGGTCCTAAGTGAAGTCGATGAAACGAATACCGAGTTCACGTCAATTGAAGTTCCGCAACAGTGCACGTTCGTGCGTTTCTTTTTATATTAACGTATGAGTGCCATACAGGAGGAGAAGAGAAATACACAAGTGTCTATCTCGAACGTGCGAAAAGGTATATCCATCCTCGATGCGCAAAACTCCAAAAGGTCATCGCGATAGTGCAATTCTTCTCATCCAACGCACTATCGAGCATATGTTAAAAAAATATTCATCAATTCAACTTTCATCTAGAGTCTATTTCTGCGATTCCCGGTGAATCTTAAATTATTAATTAGCGAAGGAAGTTCGATTGAGAATAATATTCGATGGTGTGTTGGAGATAAATCGCGCGATATCTGTAGAAACTACTTAATCGTACCAATTGAAGAGATTCGGAGAGCAGCAGGCCTTGGCTCGCTTTTCTCGAGACAATTTACATCGCATTTACACAGAAGAAAAGGGAAAAAAATTACACGTTCCCGAGATTATTTTCCGAAAACTTTACAGACCAGAATCGCACGAGAGATAATTTGTGTATAGCTCTTGTTATCTTGTATGAAAAATATTTTCGATTCTCTGCGCGATGAGCAGCTAATGTACCTTATATATCGGTACTTTAGCAATAGATGGAAAGTCAGTGAAAAGATCCAGAGTCTTTTCATTGCAGACACAGGGACGGATATATGATTTTTCTGGGTGTGAAATTCCTCATCCAAATGGTTGTAAATCATTAATACAGCTTTTGTCAAATCAGTCACACGATTTCTCAAAGTTTGTCAAAAATCAAAATACTTTTTTTTAATACCCCGAATTCTCTGAGTGGGGAATTTCACATCCACGGACACTCACGTAAATATGCGAAATTCAAACGCCCCAAGGAAGTCTCCGTCCCTGCAGATACATACATATCTTTTTAGGCATGTTGAAATGCCTGTTAGTTACGTGACCCAAGCAGCAAGGTAATGTCAAAAGACGTTATAATAACGTCTTAAAGACGTCTCTAATATAATATTAATAATATAATGTCTAATATAATGTCGTATCTAATATAATGTCAATAAGACGTTATTAAAACATCATTTAACGTCCACCTTGCTACTTGGGGGAATTTGTTAGATCATTTTCATTCTGCAATATACTGTCGGACAGTAGCTAAAGACGTGCGTGCAGAATTATCACAGTCGATTTGTAAGAATCCAGACGACACGCATGTCCGAAATCGGGACATTAAGAATAAAAATGTCTTAAAAACGTTTTTTTGGTCTGACATCTAAAAGATGTGTTATGTCCCGATCTCGGGCATGGTCTGGGAAAGTACACCGAGTTTAAGTTTAATTTATACGTGTATACAGACACGTATTACGTACGCGAATCCACGCGAATCTTCATAGTTCACGTATAAACGTTTATTAATTACGTGAACCTGTTGGAGCCACACAAGTAGAGTTTTACTCTCTGCGCCGTTAAGCATATCGCTATACTTTGAGACAATAATTAAACACGTGCGCGCAAAGCTATCATATCCGATTTGTAAGAGTACATTTTAAGTTTGATTTATACGTCGTTCATACACATTACGAAAACTGAAATATACATGTGCCATAAAATTCTTGTTATAATTTTAAACCTAATATGTTCGGAATATTGATTTATAGTTAATAACGTATTTAATATTATCGTTCTCTTAACAAATTCCTAAGCGTCTGAGTGTTAAATCGTTTCAAAGTCGATTCCAGGTCTCTTTTCGTTCAGCTTGGCGTGAAGAAGAAAAGGCTCTCAAGTTGTCAATTATGTGATTAATTACAAGTCAATATCTGTTGTGGGTGAGCCCGGCGAAAAATGAGCGTTTTCGTCATTGTTAACGGTAATCTTTATTATGATCTTATTATTATGAACCGTAACTATCTTTCCCTCTTTAACCCCCTTTTTTCTCCTTTTTACAGCGACGCTTATATACCGCTATCTTCGTGGATGTCCCTCGATTTTCCCCTTTTTCATTCCCCGGCCGGCTGGTTCTTTCATTTTACGTAACGCCTGTCTTCCTTTTCCGCGTGTGTCTCTTCGCTCTCTTGTGTTCCCAATATCACACTCCGCATTTAGATACTCATTCGCGCCGCGACACGTCGTCCCTATCTTTAGACGATACGATTACGTCTTTATTATCGAATTCTATTAATGCGTACGAATAGAAGTTTAACTTGTTTTTTTTTTTTTTTCGTTTTTTTATCACGACGTTACACACGTCGGCTCATTGTATTTCTTGAAATTTATTCGGAGGAATTGTGATTCGCGTCGCGATTCCCCCCTCGGAACGTGGAAAATTGGTACCAAGTGGCCGTATTCCTGAATGAGACGAACCTCAGCCCCACCATGCGAAACAATCAACGGGGGAATCGGAAAGCCCCGGCGAAGAGGGAGCGAGCCGGCGATGATGATCCCCCATAACTCGAGGAGGGAGACAGAGGGAGACCCGTCACGCGTGCCGCGCAGAGACCGACGTGTTGAGAGCCGCGCGTGCGGCACCCAGCAGCGGCAGTCTGCAGTGCAGGAGCGCAGTCTGAGAGTCGACGAACGCGAGCTCACTGGCTCGGCGAACGAGCGAGCGAGAAGCACGGGACCGAATCCGGCGCCGCGGCCGCGACCGTTTGACGTTTAACGCGCCCGCGTGTCGACGAAAAGCCCGCGGCGGAAGCGACCGCGATCGATGAGGGAGAGGACCGTCACCGACGGCAGGAACATCCGCGATCGGCCTGGGGGGAACCGCGGGACTTAAAATTTGACAAACGTTCGTCGGACGGTGTGAAGAAAAGCACGACACGGTGCTCCGGGGGGATTCCGTCGCGAGATTAACATAAACGCGGATAGATCGTTGACTTGAGGAGCAGCAGGAGGGTGGTCTCTCCAGGGGAGAAATATTCAGGCTGATCATCACATTCGCGCACGATTCAATCGGTTTGCGGCAAAAAATCGCAGGCGTGGTAACGTCCACATTCGCATTTGTATAATTTCGTCGAAGTTTCGCAAAACAATTCGCGGACGCCGGCTGGATCGACACCCCGGCCCCGGTGCGCAAGGAGGAAACACGAGGAAACCGCCGTTCGCCAGCCACCATCCGAGATGAGGCGTCGCTTGGGATAAGGTTCGACCGCGGTGATTTGCAATGATAGATCGCGAGCCGCGGTCGGGATGAGGAGCGTGCACGGCGATATCCGCTCGGCCGACCGTCCGTCCGTTCTCCGGATAGCGCGCGGATAGGAACGGGAAACGGGTGTTCATTAACGACGCGCGGAGAACTGGATCGACCCCGGCGGCTCGCCTCCTTCTCGCGCCGTTCCATTTTTTACGGCCAACAATGCGCGCCGGATAAGGTGTAACGTGTTCTCGGCGCGCGCGCGTGACACGCGCGTGACACACGCGCGGACTCCTCTCTTTTTTTTTTGTTTCTTTTACGTCGAAACCGGGTGAGACATGCCAAAGGGAGGTATGCCCCTTGTAAATCGGGGCTAATTAATATCGACGCTGATCGCCGGCCGCGCGAGGAAAACATACTGCACACCGACGGCGTCGGCAGAGCGCGGTTCTCTGTTAATCAACTCTGTTAATCAGTGTGTGTCAAGATTACCCTACATATCGTCCCGCGCCGGTGGATTCGTCGGCGAAGTATCGCACGCCTGCGCGGCTGAATAAAAGGTAAGACGATACCCGCGCGACTTGTACGTCGCTATTATTTTGATACTCGAGTTAACGTTTCGCGATTAAATTTACTCCGGCGATTTTCCTTTCATTTTAAAAATCCATCCGCATATCAAATACGTATATAATACATGTAAATCGCATTCTCTCCGATGGTACAAATTCCCTTTTAATCACTGAAAATTTGTGAGAGCGTTCTGCGCCGCGAGATAATGGGAAACATCATTTGAACGATTTTATTTTTATTTTCGCGACGCCGAACGAACGCTTCTCCCCGTAGCAAAATTTTTTCACGTCGGCAACAAGTGGCCGCAAGCGCGGCGGCCTTTCTTTCCTTCCTCGGCGATGTCAGACTTAATCGAGCGTCAAAACCTCTTTCTTTCAACGTCGCCTGCCGGACTTCTTCCCCGCCGTCGTTCGGTCTTTTTTTTTTTCTTTCCTCTCCGCGTGTTGCCATTCGAAAAAGCGCTATACCCGATGATGACGGACAGGTGTGGATCGCGGGGACGAGCGCCGCGCCGCCGGTTTGCCTGAAGTAAGCGAGAACGGGTTAATCTCCGTGGTTAAGCACGTGTAGTGAATACGCGAGGCTTATGATTACTGATCGACCAGTCCACATGGTTACGCCTGGATGTGGCATAACGGTTGCGTGTGCACACATTTTCACAGTGCGCGGCGCATATTTTCTGAAAGCGAGGCAAACGCCGAGAGAGGAGACTCGATCTCGCGCCGCTGCCTCTCTCGCGCGCTCGCGTTTTCGTCCTCCCGTGCGCACGTGGAGGAACGGACGGCAGCTTGGCTACTGCACGCAACGATCGGCAGGATTCTCTTTTTATTTTCGATACCGCCGCGGATGCACGAATAAAAGTGTCGTTGCAGGAAGACCCGATTGAGATCAATCGAGATGATCTCGCTCGCTGCGAGAGCGGATTTTTTTTTTAATCCTAAAATTGTTCTCCAATTCTAAAATGTTAACTCTTTGATGAACAAATTAAGTGGGCGGAAAATTGTCAACGCGAGTGAAATGACTCGTCGTTTCGCTTAGGCAAAACGCACGATAAAATCTGCAGGAGGTCTTGCATAAATTAATCGCATGTAATTACTAAAGTGTTAACGCCTAGACTTCCTTGACGCCAATACCTGCAACATCCCCCTCCGACCTGCTCGTGCGAACAGTATAATGCACGTTAGTATATTGGAGCCTCGTATAGTATAAAGTAACTTCAAGTTAAGGACCGCGACCTCGCGTACCGCCCGGTGGTGTTTTTCGTAGGTCTACTCGTCCGACTGGGGTTTGAGGCACTCGACTGGTTTCTGGTGCTTTCCGGGCCTGAACAGTCGGTCCCCGCCGGTGGTATCCGGGCCGTAGACTTAACGATCGCCGTCCTCGCGTATCGTCACGCATGGATCAAACATGAAATCTCCGGTTTATCGATCTTTCCCCGGTTGAAGGATTCCCGTTGAAGAATTAATCCTCTTTGACTATCGATCGAGCCTTCTCGATTATCTTCCTAAGACTTAATCGATTCTCCTCAATTAAAACTTCACGTTTTAATGTTCTAAAATTGTTTTAAAATTCACATTGTTTTCTCTCGGTACACGATCGCTGTGACAATTCTTTCTAATCAATTTTTATTATAATGACAAAAAAGTCTTCGCGTTTTAAATTCACCTGCCGCCCCCGTCTGAGTCGCTATAATGGCACGTGGCATAATCGCCACTACCTGCGGATCGCCACGTTCGCTTTCGCACGAATGCGCGATAAACCCATACGCGGAGAAAATCCGCATATAAGGATCACGTGCGCGTTGAATATTTGCACATTAATGAGCGTTACATCTCTAGATAAAAAAAATTTCTAGACCGGTGATTTCCAAAATTGTGATATTGAATTGTCGAGCAACAAAACTAACGTGACAAAAATTTTTCATCCATTTTTATTTGTATTTTTATTTGTATTCATTAAATTTTTTAAATTTAATTTATTTTCTGGACAAAGTTTATACAGAGATCAAATTTCTATCACGGCGCGCGACGAGTCTCTTTTTCATATCTGTGCAGCTTCGACATTGAAATACATATCTTTCCTTATAGTCGCTACTTAGAAAAAGATCATATCATCGCCTGACATTTGATAAGGCGTATCGAAAGGCTGTCGTTATTAAAGTCCTGTTAATTTCCTGATATACCTTTTGGCATTACGCAGTAATATATATATACACGCGCGTTTTCTTTTTCCACAATATTACATTCTAAAGTAATTACTACGGCTCGGACGTAATTGCCCGCACGGCAAAACATTCTCGCACGTGTCGTTTACACTTAGAGGAGTAGCTGATTACGAGCGCGCGGTAATTACTCTCTACTCGACACACGTGGTGGCTACGCGCACCGTAAATTAATTCTATCGACGAGACGCTCGCGCGCGCGGCGTTGTAACGCCGCACCACTCGACGCTGTAACAGATCGCGAGTAAGACGTTCGATCGCGAAGACACCGAAGGTCAGGCCCGAGTGAACAAATTACCACGATTACGATTATCGACGACGCGGGTCCGCGATCGAGCCACGCGGGACCGGCGCGACGGGACGGGTCGTGCCCGATAAGCCGAACGTCGTTTCGCTCTCCACGTCATCGCGTTTCGAGAACCGACTCCTGTGTTCCGCATATCTCATGTTCCCCTCCGTTCCTTTCTTTTTTTTTTTTTTCTTTCGCCTCGCAAAAGTCATCGGAAGCGCGATTCTTTAAAGTACAGCGCATCATAACGATACTACCGTTAAGCGCGAGTATAGAAGGCACTAGGTCAGGAATTCGCTGCATTTTGATGCTAAAGGAACATAAAATGCGCATCTGTACGTGGATGCATATATATAAGATCAGTTCCAACCGCGCGTCCGTAGCGAAACCGTAACGTTTATGTTTGTAACGTTGATAATCGGCTCGCAAACTCGGCAACTCAACCGTGAACTGATTTTAGGCGCTGGACCCGAGGGGAATTCAGGGGGAGGGGAGGAGCTTCGCGAGTTAACGCGGCGAACGCGGAGCGTCGATCTCGCGAGGCGAATTGGCATGGAAAACGCGATAAAATCGATGAACATGCAATTATTACATAATAGCGATAAAACTTTCTATAATGTGTATCTCTCTTACTTAGAAATGGTATCCTCGGAGTTTTGCAATAATAAGAATTCCGTTCGCGTGCAAAAAGATCAATGTTAATGTCATTATCATTGACTACACTTTATTATAATATATATGCTAAAACACCGTGCTGGATTAAAAACTCGACTAGTTGTTTGTGCAATATATATATATATATTTATATGTATTATAATAAATTTTATTTATACTATTTATTTATACATTTCTACTTATTTATACTTATTTTATTTATACTTTTTTTTTATTATAATGTATTTATTAAAAAGATACTCATTGAATAGAATAAAGGTTGAAAAGGCTTTTATTCCTGATCTTGACATGTTGAAAGTTGTGGTGGTTTCCGCCCTCTTCTCTTTCCTCCCTCCTTCCGTCTAGAAGAAATCCGTGACCGTGTACGCGGTTCCAGTACACGCGGTTTCTGAGGGGTTGAAATTCTCAGTTTTTTTTTCCTTTTGTGTTCTGCATAGCTCTTTATCGAAGGGCGTCTGATTGCGCGCGACGGAAGGAGGGGGAGGGGAGGGGAAAGGTGGTTCCCACAACTTTTTTTTCATACGTTCTGCAGAGCTCGTTTCCGAAGGGCCTTGGCGGCGCGCGGCGGAGGAAGGAGAGAAATTTATTATTATACATAAAAATCCACATTTGGAAAACTTGTATTAAATTTAACATATTTCACATGTTCCTAACAGTCCACTTAAATTTTTGTATTAATTTAACGTTAGATGAATATGTTAAAAAAATTAACACAGCAAATATATCACTAATATACAATTTGTAAGCAAAGCATTGTCGAAGCATATATTTTTTTTCAGTAAAATTAATATATTTATGATATGTTAAACACGTATTTTATTCATTTATGTTAGAATTTACGTTTTAAAACACAATATTTTTATGTTATTTGTTCATAAATTGTGTTATTTTGACACTAAGAAATATTGAATATTAATTTAACACAAAATATTTAAATAACATAATCACATATATTATGTTAAATTAACATATTTGAATATGTTAAAACTCAACACAAAATTTTAACAATATATAAGAACTTGAGTGAACCGTTTCTAACATAAATACAAAAAGCGACGTTTTTAATTGCCAGGTCATTTCAATTTATGCAAAAATGCGTTGAATGAGCATAGTTTGAACGATTTTTTTTGTACGTGCTAAACTAAATAATTAGCCGAATTTTGTTGGAAAACATCGTAAAGCCGTCTTTAAGACGATTTCAAAGTGTCTTGTGTCCCGATTTTAAACATGTGTGCAGGTTTGAACGGTCGCTTCACCCCGGAAGAGACGCCCGATCGCGAGAGAACACGGTCGCCTCTCTCGGACCGCCCGCGGGAACCAGATCTTAAAATCGACCCGGTTTTTTTGCGAGCTAGCTAACGGTGCCTCCGTCAAAAGCGCGTGGCCGATATCGGGTATACCGGGACCTGATTATCCGGGTGGTTTAATTTGAGGCGCGTCGGCACCGATCGGTCGCGTGCCCCCCTCGAACGGACACGACGCGGTGCACATATCGAAATATGGAGGTCAATCGTATTTGTATTCCGCGCGATGCGCTTTAGCGGTCGGCCCAACTTCTTCTCTTCCGCCCGCCGAACTTTAACTCTCGCCACGCACTAAACAATGTAGGCCAGCTAATCTAGATCGAATCGAGTCCGATGTTTCCGGCGTTTCCGCTGATTCTCGAGGATGATAATATGCAGAAACGTTATTTCTCTCTCTCTCTTTCTTTTTTTTTTTTTGAGGATGGCGACCGGTCGAACGTCTGCTATGTGTGATATTCGAGGCACGATCGCAATAAAATGGATTAAATCCAAAATTGAGCAGATTTTATTTTAAAAAAACGGTACGTGGTATGGTAAGAGGGTATTGAACCTTCTCGCAAATTTAACGTGCCAAAAATTCGTGCCGCAGTTATAGGACCGAAACGCTCGTCGGCTAGAGTTGCGTTTAAAAGAGTAGATCGAATTAATGCATTTTATTTTTATCAGCTCAAGAAAGAAAATTATATTGATGTCAATAACGGAGAAATTTAAAAAGAATCTTGTATACAAAAACGTTACCCCAATATTTAATTTAAGACAAATTATGTATCCAAATCTAAGCACGGATTTGTTTCCGCGAGACGAGTGTAATTCGCTTCGGAGAAAAAGAAAGGAAGGCGGTGCGACGAATGACACGAACACGGTGTATACGGGCAAACGCGTGTGCAACCGGCATTTTTCTAGGGCACAGCCCGATCGCCTGATTCCCCTTAACCACGTTGTTTTGCAGTTTATATACTGTTACATACCGGGAGCTTCTCCCCAGTTGGGAGGCCGGTCAAATGACCACAGCCTAATGAACCCGACGCGCGCGTGATGTGTCCCGGTGACCAGTAAGACGGTGAATGTGCGACGACAATGTGTACGTCATTTGCGTCCCCTTTCGATGTAAAGGGGAGGAGAGGACGTGCCGACACGAAGGAGAAGCTTCACGAAGCTCATTGTCAGTACGGCCAATACACGAAAGATGCGATAATAATCGACATCGCATTCCGCGGCGTTTGCTCAATTCATGCAACACAGAAATGTTTCATGTGCAACAATTCTGAAAGAATTTTATAATATATATATATAGAATTTTATTCTACAATATATATATATATTGTAGAAAAAATTCTATATATATATTATAAAATTCTTTATATTATATAAATGGCTAAATTCCCATAGAATACTGATTGTTGCAAAAATCTGTCAGGAATGTTTCAATATTTCACATTTCATGTGCAACAATTCTAAAAGAATTTTATAATATATATATATGTATATACAGCTGACAGCTTTTTACAACAATTAGTATTGTATGGGGAATTTAGCTATTTATGTATGCAAACAATAAGATAAAACGAAAATTTTGCTAAAACGCGGGATTCTGGATTCCACTCCCATTTTTACGAATTTCCAAGGTCTCGGTCTGCACGAAGGACACTCCGGCTGTCCATTTCTCCGCTTTTACATTTCTCGATGTTTCTCTCGGCGCATAATTCTTTCAGTCGGCGACGTAATAAATGGGCGTTTAGCTTATCGCCACGACGAGGGGGCACAGTTATCCCCCTAAGAAGCACTCCTATCCTCCTTACCCACAAATTAAGTTTCTAATTGGCCGAATTGGACAGCGCTAGGTGGACTACCCGTCCCGAATATCAATTAGGGGAAAATTTTCTCGCGTATCTCTCGTATATCCGAACAGGATGTAAGTCACATGATGACGATGACGACAAAATCCATCGGCGATAGACCTGTCGCAGGAAAGTTTTTCCCCGCGGCGCCTGACTCGAGGTCGCACACGCCGCCGCGGGTACCGTAAGTCTTGTGACTGCGATACATAGCGTACGCACGTATCGTCGCGGGATTTATCGCAAATAATTTCGCGCGGGTCTGTCGTGCGGCCTACTTGAGGCACTGGCGGGTCCTATCGGCAGGATGAGAATTATTATACGCGACTCCGCGCGTTTCGTTCGCAAATAAAACGATTAATCTGATCTACGGCTCACAATCGATGCCGCGTGGTTATACCCTAGCCCCCTTCGTCGAACAGCTATCTGCTTTTCTGAGAAACGCACGCGACTAACTTGAGTCGAGGGATTATTCATTCACGAATAGGGTGCTTGATTGATTTCTGATTTTTTGTTATTTTAAAGTGATTTTTTATAAATTCGAAATAATTTCGAACAGTTTCGTATAATTTACATGCAATAAGTTTACCAATTAAAATACGCGATTTCATAATAGAACAGCTATTTTTGTATTTGTTTAATTACTGCTTGATTTAAAATGAGATTCATTTCGTTAGCAAGTTGTAAAATTGTTAATATATATATAATTGCTAGAAAACTCTGTTCTTCCAACTGTTGCTTTCTAAATATGCAAAACCTAGAATTAATTCAATATAGTATTTTAGATGATTTCAAATAATTTCAAGTGATTAATTACATGATTTCAATTTGATTTCTTAAAGCTTTTACAAGGGAAAGGTGTTACAAAAGAAAGGTGTTACAATGATTTCAACTCTGAGTTGAAAGTAAAGTTCTGATTTAAATTGATTTCAAATTGATTTCAGTGTTGGATTTCAATGTTGGATGCTTGATTGATTTATAAGGGAAAGGTGTTTACAATGATTTCAATTTTGAGTTGAAAGTAAAGTTCTGATTTAACTTGATTTCAAATTGATTTCAATGTTGGATGCTTGTTTGATAAGTGAGTAATCTCTTGACTTGAGCTCCAAAAATCAATTTCATCTGCTCCAATTCGGAGCTCGTAGATGAAATAAAAATCCTGGTAATCGCACATATTTCGTATCTGTCATTGAATACGACAACGCGCTGTTTAACAGGTGTCTCGTTGCGGCACTCTCGGTTAACGCAGAATGTCGCAAAGAGGATGTCTTCTGCTGCTGCTGCTGCTGTTCGGTTTGGCCGCGCTGAGGGAGGCGTCCACGTCCGGCGATACTGGCGATGCCGTTCGCGAGGGCGAATCCTCTCGCCGGGCGTCGCATCACCGGCAGAAGCGGGTCTTCTGGTTCACGAACGACGGACGGATCGCCCTGCCACCCGGCACCGTCATGACGATCACGCCGACGCTGGCGTTACCCTTCGTCCGGCATCCGCCTTACGGCTTCCTTAGCAACATGACCATCAGCCTGCCGTTCACAAGTGAGTCCGCGCTGCCCACGTGGGTGCGAGTCCTACGCTAAGTGCCGTGATTGTATCCGGTAAAAGAAAATATCGCGATGTGACAGAATCATGCGTCTTTTTCCCCCTCAGTCGACTTCGACAAGCTGGGCCTGACGGACAACGAGAATCCGTACGGCGCTCTGCCGCCGAGCTTCGACAGGAAGCTGAACAGCCGGCAGGCCGGCATGATGATGGCAGACTTCATCGCGGCATTCATCAAGCGCAGATTACACAAGCGGGACATGTCGGAGGTGCCGAAGAACGCGTTCCACGGCGGCGAACGGGCGCTGCTTTACGGCACCACCGAGGATATGCTGTCCACGCTGGGAATGAACGGGAAGGCATGCCTCTTGAGAGCGATTTGCGAGGTCCAGGGACACCATCTGAACAACTTCGGGCTGATCGGCGAAATGCTGAAGCTCTTCTTCACGTTAGTAACTCGGGTTCATAGAACTAAACCTTGGAAGATTATCTTGCTGTATAATTACTGTTTCGGAATTGTAAATATAATTATAATAAGCACATTTTTAGGGCCGTCTAAAAAATTGTTTAATTAAATCCCGATATTTTATCTGTAGCGCCAGCCGATCGCCGTTTGCGAACCTCCTCAAGGAATACGTCGAGGCGGAAAACCGCGGGAAATTTCACGGCGAGTGCTGGCCATACTTCAAGGACTGCCCGAAATCCTTATTTCTGCCATCCAGCAACAAGTATCAGTTAGTAATATTAATTTTGACATTAATGGCCGATCTCATCAATTTCGATCTTAATTCCTAATCTATTCGTGATAAATAAAAAATATAGTATAAGTGTGGAAAAAATATAAGTGCGAATAATAATAAATATATTTTAGAGATGATAAGTTTTAGTTTAGCACTTGATTCTTAAATGGCTTAAATTTTATTAATCACTTTGATCGGCGTTGATAAGGCCGACCCTAAAATTTAATTTAATTTAATTTATTGCATATAAACAAGTTTACATAATTACATAAATGAAATTAACATATGAATACGCAAATGGGACACGCCAGCATAATAACTGTAATGCCTACTGAATATGTGAATGATATATAACGTATGACTAAGAAATAATGGAAAGGAAACGCATGTTACACACAACATTTACGCATGTAAAAAATCTATAATTCTTCGATTAGTTTTAATAGAAACTAATGGTTTCTGAAAATTTTTCGAAATTTCTGCAACGAATTCCCGTAAATAACGCATAAGATTAAATTCTCACTTTAATGAAATTGTTCTTCGAAAAGTTGATTTCGGTAATTTCTTTTTGTTCTCAATTCTTATTACGTCAATAAAAAATTCTGCCTTTTAGGAAAGATTCGTCGCATGACGAGGAGGGCGACGAGGACGAACATTGGAATCAAATCTCCAACGATCTCGACGAAGAGCCCCTCACGAGGATATCGGGACAGAACACGGACACCGTACATCCCATGTAGCTTTATAATTATTGTATGTAGTTGTACAATTATAATTGTTCTCAGGTGTTTCCTTTCGCCCGAGTGCAGATTTTCTAACAAATTCGCTCTTAAAGAGCGAATGGAAACTGACTTGTTCTCGTTACCGAAGTTAATCGCGTCTTTATTCAGCCCTCAATCGCTCGACTTTGAATCCATTGCGTACGAGAGAAGATACCATTTAATTAATATAGATTAGAAATCGCAATTATTACTAATTAACGCACGGTTAACGCTTTGTATCTTCCGAGACGCGTGGGAAAAATTCGTAGGTGCTTGCAAAGGAAGGCTGTTAAATAAGATAACAGAGCTGGTTGATTACAAAGAGATTACCATTATCGTGACCATGATAACGTGATAGATTGAATTCTCGGGCGAGAATACACGTGTAACGTTGCATACATGTAGTGTCCGTATACGCGAGAAACCATCAAAAGTTTTGGCTAGTCGGCCAAACGGCATTGTGTGTAAAATATGTGACACACTAACGATCGTTGTTTTAAGTGTTTCGCTGTTTTGTACAGCGTAAAGAGAATACTTCGATTTTTTTTAGCCATATATAATTCTACGTGTATGATACGACTGTTCGTCAGAGATGCCTATGAAGCGAGGGTTCAGAGGCTTTCTTCTTCTTCTTCTTCACCTTTGAAGTTTAGATTTTGATGGAATCTGAGTACCACGGTTTCTGAACTTCAAAAAAAGGGGGAGGCTTTCTACAATAAGTCGTTTAATTATTGATATCATAAATCGTAAGAATTGACTAATCGCAGTCGAATGTGAGGGAAATACTCTCGACTTCTTGCAGATAGCCCCTCAGGCCTGTGATTTATGCTTCAATCTTATTGTTAATCTTAAAATTATAAACAACCAATGAGAATATACAGATTTTGGCTGGGAGGACTGCCGCTCTATTGGGTGACATCTAAGAATTTTATAAGATCGAAGCGTAAATTAAGCCGGCACTCACAGACATTTTTGACCACGTTAAAATTTGGCACAAACCAATCGCAGCCATATATACTGTGTCACAGCGCTTAAAAGCTAAGCCTGTAGGCACCAGTCGCTGTGAGTGGTTGGGTCCAATGATCGTAATGTGGTCAATGGGGATCCTCTTTTGGCCGGCTCAACTCTCGTCCGAGGCCAGGCGCCATGTGAAAAAGAAGAAGAATGGTGATCCTTCCCGCTAACGGTCGACGACCATTTGGTCGCCGCTTGCCACTACATTCTTTTTACATGTCGTTCTGCGAAACGGCACCCTTGCTGTTCTTGCGACACCGGGACAGGACTCACGATCGGAGGCACGAGCGAACAATGAAGTGTCGGTTCCATATGCGCTTGTGTGATCGTATAAGAATGAGTGAACTTGAATATTTCCTCTTGCGCATACGTATATAATTTTATTTATTTAATTTATATGTTAATAATTTTATATATATATATTATTTCGAGCGAAGCGTCGTGTATATAGTTAAATTCTTTTGTTAGAGAACTATCTCTATAGGAATGATTTTAATTTAATTTCTTTCACACGTAAGATTAAATCTTAATCTAATCTTGTTAGGGTACATCTACAATAAGAGTAGCAAGTCGTAAGCCGTAAGAAATTAATCAATCAATAATCGATTATGCTTATCATATAATTCGACTGTGATTCTTCAATTTTTTGTGGCTTACGATTTACTACTATCATTGTAGACGATCCTTTAATCAAAATTCTAACGTTCTAATTTAAGTTTCCTCGTGATTCTGAACATTAATTGGTATCAGAGATATATATGTAGATATACTTTATAGAAATGTCCTACCCAGTAAATGGGAATAAAGAATTAAAATTTTGTAATTTATGGATTGAAATGGATTTGGCCTCCGTGGAAATGAATGCATTTCTATTTTTTCATAATATTAATATAATATTTTTTGAATTTAGATGAATTGAAACAATGCATTTCCTAGTCACAATTTTTAATTGAATAACATTTATGATCCATTTTCACGGAAAAACTTTTTGAATTTAATTAGATCGAATTAAAAAACTGCACTTCCTGTCTAGAATTTTGAATTAATCAATATTCACGATTTATTTTTTAAAGTTGAATTTTTTTTTTATTGAATGGCATAGAAAATGTGCTTCATGCAATTCCTATAAATGAATATAAAGACATTGGACACTGAAATTAATTCAGATTTTTGGAAGTACGCATTCAGAAGTTTGCGAAAGTTAAAATAAATTTTTTTTAAATCTATTTCAATC